CCCTGCGAACCCGAAATCTCTAGTCCCAAGCCAAGAGCTGATTCACCCAACCTGACTTCGAACCCTGAGCCCGAAACTGCCTGAATCCTGAATGAAGCCTGAAGCACCCAAATACCAAACCCTCAACTAGCACACCCCAAATAGTATGTAAGCCAGAAACACCTACACGACGAAACCCTAAACCCTCAACTCTAAAGACGCAAGGAAGCCGTCAACCCTGAACTCTAAAGGCTGCACCCTAAACCTTAAGCCCTAAACCGTATACACCCTACATTCCCGACATCCTTAAAGGAGGCCCTCCGCCCTAAACCTTAAAGCCTGCACCGTACATGGAGGTTCACGGGTAGTTATAACTGGGGTTATAAGTAGAGAAACTACAGTCATAACTCCCACTAGGGGACTTATAAGCCCATTTATAACTACCCATGAACCTCCAAGTACCTTAGGGGTCCTTGGAATAAGGATCCTACTATTTAGGGTACGTTGTTAGGGTCCCCTCATTTCGGAAACTCCCGCATGAAGAAAACCCCTAAGGCGCCAAGTCCCGAGTCCCCCACGGCGCGTCGTCCTTCTTTTCTGAGAGGCGCTCCTGAGGGCCTCAGCCAAGAGAGTTTGGGTTTCGGGCCAAGGGATCAATGGGGATATATAGGGTTTAGGGATATAGGGTTTAGGGATATAGGGTTTAAGGATATAGGGTTTAGGGATATAGGGTTTAGGGATGTAGTGTTTAGGGATATAGGGTTTGGGGATTAGGGATATAGGATTGAGGGATATAGGGTTTAGGGATATAGGGTTTAGGGATTAGGGATATAGGGTTTAGGGATATAGGGTTCGGGGATATAGGGTTTAGGGATTAGGGATATAGGGTTTAGGGATATAGGGTTTAGGGATTAGGGATATAGGATTTAGGGATATAGGGCTTGGGGATATAGGGATATAGGATTGAGGGATATAGGGTTTAGGGATATAGGGTTTAGGGATTAGGGATATAGGGTTCAGGGATTAGGGCTTAGAGTAATTATAAGTGGGGTGTCCGGGCTCCGGGCTTAGGGATATAGGGTTCAGCGATTAGGGCTTAGAGTAATTATAAGTGGGGTTTGAAGTAAGGTAACTATCAGAAGCTCTGGAGGCTGCGTGGTTGAGGGCTCTGGGTTGTTTAGGGCTTAGGACTGCGGGTGTAAGGCGCCTTTTGTTGAACAAAGTGCCTTGTTGTAAGGTTTAGGGTTAGGGCTCAGGCTCTTGTTTTTGTTTTTTTCGTGCCTTTTTCGAAAGGTTTACGTCGGGATTAGGGTTGAGGGGTGTGAGGCACCCTAAACCCCGAAACCCCTAAACCCTGAACCCTAAACTCTAAACCTTTGGGGTTCAGGGGGGGTTGAGATTTGGCAGGCAAGAACACACAACCGCACAAAAGAAAAGAAAAGAAGAGAAAAGGAAAAGAAAGAAAACACGCGTCTCTCTGTTCCTTGCTTTTCCTCTTTTGCGTTCCTCTTTCTTTTCTCTCTTTTGTCTTTCTTTCACTCAATCCTCACTCCTGATGTTGTGCGTTGTTAACTGAATTAAAGCAAAAACAAATGAAATAGAATGAAGTGCGTATTTTGCTTTAACGAAACCAAATAAAGAGCGTGTGGTGTGTGTGTGTTTAACTTAAATAAACAAAGCGTGCTTACATTTCATTACATTGCCTTTGTTTTATTTCAAATAAGCACAACAACACACCCTAAAAATATGAAGTGAATCTTTGTTTTTAATTAGTGCTTTCGTGTGGTAAAATTTCAATGGAACAAAGTGAAGCGAGCATTAGACCACACGAAACACTAAGCAGAAAACAAAGGGAACGAACTGCCCTGCTATTGAATAATAGGCCATGATCCCTTCAATTGAGGTGTCGGCAAAAAAAACAACAACATCTCAGAAGAAGATTCAAGCAGGTTCGGCCAGAACCCTTAACCCCAAACCATCCCAAACCCCTTAACCCCTTGAACCCTCCAAACCCCTTCAACACCTGAAACCGATTAAACCCTGAAGCCCTTAACACTAAAACCCTAAACCCTAAAACCCTAAACCCTAAAACCCTACCCCAAACCCTAAACCCCAAACCCTAAAACCCTGAACCCCTAAACCCTGAAACCCTAAATCCCTAAACCGTGAGAGCCTAGGCCGTCCTACTAAGTGCCAGAGGCGCTTAGAGCTGCTCTAGACTACTCGTTACAACTTAAGTAAGGTTAGGGTTTAGGGGTTAGGGCTTTGGGGCTTTGGGTTTGGGGTGTTTAAGGGTTTTGGGGTTACCTGGACCCCAAAAGTATGCAGAATAACAGCATTTTATAGGTTTTGGGCCATTCGTTTACCATAGTATAACCCTTATAGTAACCCTTATAGTAACCCCTTAAAGGAACCCTTCAAGTAACCCCATTCCCTACTAAGAACCTACTTTGGGGGTCTAGGTAAGGTCATGAACTCAAAGGTCTGACACGTACGACGAAAAACATCTATGGCAAGCAATCGCAACGTTCATAAAGACTAACCCTAGGCCCTGAGCCTAAACCCCAAAAGCCCCGAACCGTAAATGCTAAACCCTAAACTCTAAATCCTAACCCTAAACCCTAAATCCCGAGAAAACCCAAAAACACCTAAAAACCCTAAACCTCAAAGCCGCATTGAGGCCGCCGGCTGCCACTCGAGGGCTCGGAGTTTGGACCTGGCAAAACCCACGGGGCCCGTCAAACGTAGCGCTCTTTGTGCTGTACTTGAAGCCGTTGAAGATGTTCATCAAGTTTGATAGGCTATTCAATAGATACTGTAGCACATCACAGTATGCTATAGTCATCGTAGGGTATATGCTATTATACTAATAATGAGAGCGCATGTGATACTGCATCATATGGCCGCCCAGATGGGTATTTCGGCTCTCAGAAGTCTTGAGTGCTTGCCTTCCGCCTTGAAAGGGCTCTTTTAAAGGGTTCTATAAGGGATCTATAATATAATGGGATTCTACGATAGAGGGGGGCTTTAATAGTTAGAATAGGGTTTTGGGGCCCATTATATTATAGGTACAATAAGGAACCCCAGAATGGCATTATTTACCGCAGTAGGGACTTGGCTTTACCTGAACACCACAAAACCTGCCTCTTCAGGGCTCCGTATTATGATTTCTCTTCTCATGAATGCGAAAACGCATAGGCTGCAAAAGCGGGTAGGCTGCAAAAGGTAGGTTGGTTTAAGGGCTTATGCTTCAGGGTTTAGGGTTTAGGGATCAAGGCTTGGGGCTTCGGATTCAATGTATAAGGTTTCGGGTTCAGGGTTTCGGGCTTTGGGTTCAGGGTAAGTATGTGGTTTCGGACTGAGGATTTGTCTTGGAGCGTGCGGGATTTTGGATTAACGGTTTCGGGTTTGGTGCTGTGGTTTCGCTTCAGGATGTGTTGTGTAAGCGCGCTAGGTTCAGGGCATAAGAGTTGCGGTGTTTAGATGCAAGTACGTATCTTTGAATGGATTGAGTGAGCCGCTTGCATTGGCTGTGGATAACGGGATCCATGACCTTCATGCCTCCCGTTTGCTGGAGTCAGGTGTTCGCAGGGGTTTAGTCTGGCTGAATTAAAGTCTGGCGGCCAAGCATCGGGAAGCCCATGATACCGAGGCCTTTATATTGTGCAGGATATGTTTTTGTTTAGTCGGTGAGGGGCGTATGACATGCCTGGAACATACTGGAACTGTAAAGCAGCATATATATATATATATATATATATATATATATATATACATATGTATATATACATATGTAAATATATATATGGTTATAGTTCTCATGGCCTTTTTTTGTTCAGGAAACTGCTTCCTCTCGGCCCCCAGCTCCCCAAAAAAAGCATAGAAGCCTTGGGGACGACGAGTTATGCTAGACCCAAGCTGGACCCTAAGGAACCTCCCTTTTGGGGGTTCCCAAATATGATTTCTTCACATAGGTCCTTAAAAAGGTAGGTTACTTGGGGTTCAGGAAGAGTAACCTAGGAATAAAAGGGGTGCCCTTTTTGGTTCAAAGAGGCTTTTAAGGGAAGCTGAACCCTAAAAAAGGGAATAAGGGCCTACTCTAGGTCCTAGTATGTAACTATTGCAGGTCCTGCCAGAATACGTAGGCCTACAAACCTATGCATGCAAATTATGTCGCGCCTGTGTGTGTATATATATATATATACATATATATGTATATGTATAATATATGAAGTTAACAAATTAGGTTGTGTACTGTGATTACGTACTTGTCTACTTGCATATGGTCCTTAAGAATTTTGTTACTTGTGGTAGTACTCATGCACACAAACCCCTAAACCTTAAGCACATAAACCCTACACAAACCCCCAAACCATAAACCCATAAACCCTACACAAACCCCTAAACCCTAAACCCTACACAAAACCCCTAAACCCTAAACCCCACACAAACCCCTCGGCGCCTAAGCTGCTTTGAGCCAAGTCAGGGCCATGCGCCCGTCGACTCGCCGGCCCATCATCCGTATCCTGTCCAGCGTCCCGATGATGAACTCTGGGGTTAGGGGTTTGTGTAGGGCTTAGGGGTTTAGGGTTTAGGGGTTTAGTGGTTAAGGGCTTAGGGTTTAGGGTTTAGGGGTTTAGTGGTTTATGCAAGCAGTCACTGGCCAAGGCGGGCAACGGAACCCTGTCCAATTGACAAACCCGCGACCTGCTGCCTGCATTGCGAAATAGGGAGTATACAGGGTACTGTACGGCTACTACTGTACAATCGATGCGGTGGAAGCGCTTGCAGGCATAACGCTTCTTAGGAGCGTCTTTACTTGCAAGACTGGCATGGCCATGCCGACCGACTGATCCGACCTGCAGTTCCAGCTGAAGCACAAAGTCACAGCATTCCGACGGTCGAGTTCGGATTGAATCTCGTGGCCTAGTCGCTTGAGACTCAGGCTACCGCGTCGGTCTCAAGCGGCGCCAGCAGACATCCGACGCATCGTGAGCTCACTACGACCCGCAGAAGACAGCTCAGCTGTCAGTCGCGAGCAAGCAGGCTGCAGCGGACTGTGCCGCCCCGGGCGCAGACGCGGCGGCCAACTCAGCTCTCCTATGCAACACCGCCCTGGCGCGGAAGCTGCGAGCGACGACGCAGAGTTCCTGAAGGAGTTCACCATGCAGAGCTGCCGGATCTGCACCTTCGCGGGCGGCTGCAGCTCGAGAGATCTGAGTCAGGACTTTGGCCGCTTCAGCTTCCCACGCCCCGGTTGTTTCGGCCACGAGGGGCAGAAATCTGACACCCTGTGCCTGGCAGGTCGCAGCGGTGTCCAGGTGAGCCTTCTTCACAGCGACATAGGCGGTCGCTGCAGCGAGGCTCTTCCGTGAGGCTTCTGCCAAGGTCTCCAGTCGCTGGGGGCCGGTCACGGCCAGATCAAATGCAACGGGAGCGCCAAGGTAAGAAGGCACGAAGATGTCTGCAGGGCGCCGGCGATCCAACCCATGGTCTTCCGGGCGTTGGGGTAGTAGCACCTGCGGCTTTTCACGCTCGGGGTGGAGACCGGCTCGACCGACCCAGGTGCACAGGAGGTCACGGAGTGCATTGTGTCTCAGGGTCCGCTCACCTCCAGCAGAGCAAAGGCCAGCGTGGTAGGAGAACTTGTCCAGGATGCAGTCACATCGCGGGCACCATTCGTCCTGTGTAGCATCCGGCATGCACAGGCGCTGTCGAAGCTCGGCTACAAATGCAGCGGGCTCCATTCGCCTGCGCCCATGGGGGGTGGCGGCGAGGAAGGCCCGGGCCCCAGGTTCAGCCTCCGACCGTAACACCGCCTGAGCGGCGAGGTGGCAGTTGGCCAGGCGACGCTGCCAGCGGAACTCATCCAGACCAGCAGTGAGGGCCTTCTGCTTCAGCATGAGGGCGGTCGAAGCTGTAAGAGGGCCAGCAGCATGCTGGTTGAGGTCCGCCAGAGCCTGCTGCACGTCCACTCGTCCTGGCACTGCACCAAGACAGAACTCGGCATCAACCCGGCTGCAGAGCTGAGCAGAGCCACCGACGGAAGCCAAGTAAGCTGCAGGCGCATCCAACGCTGTGGAGCGCAAACCAAGGCCAGCCTGGGCAAAGTTGAGGCCCGCCTGTTCCCACTGCGCAGCATCAAGGTGGAGGCCCGTCAGGCTGGCAAAGCAAGCCTGAACAAGCCGGTCAAACTCTTGAAAGGCGTCAGCTTGAGCTTGGGGTGGAGCGCACCGCATGCTGTGCACGAGGCGGCAATGGCCTGCACAGGCGCGAAGCAGCCTAAGCCCAACCTGCGGGTCTTCAAGCTCCCCAACTGCGTCCAGCAAGGTCCGCGCACCAGCAACGCGGGAGGAGATGTGCGCCGCAGTGGAGGCCAGGTCGCCTATCGGAGCCCCCAAAAGCTCAAAGTTGCGAAGAAGTCTGCTGCTTCCGTCTGCCCGGCGGAGGAGGGCGTCAGGTAAGTGTCCCACCAAGTCACCGGCCGCAACGTCTCCAGTTGCAACCACCTCGCACTTCTTCAGGTTTAAACGCAGGCCTAGTGCGGCCGCCCGGCGCTGTGTCTGCACCAACGCAGCCGCGACGGCCGGCTCTGAGTTCCAGCACCAGGGGCTGGATGGCAGCCGCAAAAAGTAGCGGTCCAAGAGGATCGCCTTGTTGCACCCCAGCGGACGACGTGAGCAAGGTTTCACCAAACCGGAGGTGAGTGGGTTGGCCGTACGTCCAAGCAACCCAGCGGGACAGTGCAGGAAAGTGGTCTCTGGCAGCAGCGAAGACGGCCTCCCGCTTGATGCAGTTGAATGCGTTTTCAAAGTCAAGCTTTAGCAAGATTTTGCGGCCAGCCGCGTGTCTGTCCATCCAGGCGCGCACGGAGTGGACGGCGACCTCCGCTCCAGCCGGAACTGCGACCCCGAGCTGAGCCGGGAAGAAGTGCTCCCGTGCCGCGTTGCGGACGTGGTGCATCAAGCACTTGCCCGTCAGGCGACGGAGAACTTCTCCAATTGCGATAGGCCGGACTCCACCATGAGGCTTCGGAATTGCCACCAAGCCAGCGCCCGCCAAGGTAGCCGCTGCAGTCGGACAGGCTTGCCCTTGGGCAAGGAGGTTGAGCACGGCAGTGAGTTGCTCAAGCAGGGCTGCCGAAGAGCCCGGGGCACAGGCATCACGAAGGTGTTGAACACGGAGACCAGAAGGCGCAGAGGCCGCGTTGAAGCTGCGCAAAGCTTTAGCCACGACGTCAGGCACCAACTCAGGTGCAGGAGGCAGTTGGTGCATGGCTGGCACCGCGGGGCTAGCATGCACAGGATGAAGGGCTCGAATAGCAGCGGTGGTCTCCGGGTCCTCCGGTGCAAGCCCCGTGGACAGAAGGGCAGCACAGGCCTTGCCCTCGAAACCTTCTCTAGCGAGGCTAGTGGCGAGGTCCTGCCGCTGAGTCTTGCTGAGCGGGCGGCGGCGCCCTCGCTGCGGTTGTTGGCGAGTTTGCCAAAGGAGCAACCGTTCACCATCCTCCCATCGCTTGAGCCTGTCCAGCGTGTAGACAGCTGCAGCCTTGGCGTGTTGCTTGCCCCCGCGGCGTGGCGGATCCAAGACTGACTGGGGGAGCATAAGAAGCTCACGCCACGACGTTTCGTCATTGCGATGAACGACTGCAGCGAGTGCACGGGTCAAGGCCCGCGCCCACAGGTGGCGAGCTCGCCCGGGCACGTGTCGCAGGGTAGGGGTGCACCCAGCGATAATGTCTTGAAAGCTCGGAAGCTGGATGCCGTCCCCGTGCAGGGCCTCCACTGGGCTGGCCATGGCAGCACGAGCAGCCGGGCGGCACGAAGGGTGTACACCATGCTGAATGGACACGCTGAGACCGCAGACCATGCAGCGTTGGCGACTTCGTCCTTGCAGCCAAGCCTCCGGAACATCCCCCTGCAGAGACCCAGCCAGGTGCGCATCGATGTGCGCCTTCATGGAAGCATCGCTGGCCCATCCCCGCGCACGCCGAGTATCATGGCACGGGCAAGTAGGCACTGGGCAGTAGACACGTGTGCCGGCCGCAGTAGGCCCTTGGGCAGCTTCCACGTCCATGCTGTCAGGGTCATCGCGTTGGCGTCGTCGGGGCCGCTCGCCGCCAACGGGGGTGCCAGGGCCACGGGCCCAGGGTTGGAGGCCTCTCCGATGCGGCGCCCCCGATTGGGCCAGCCGCGCCAAGTGCCACACAGTGAAGGCTTCAAAGGACGTCGAGGGAAAAGCCGTCTATGCCGCCGATGTCGCATGCGAGCCTCCCCGGGCCTCCATAAGCCCAGCCAGGGCGCAGTCTCGACAGGCGAAGGGTCTGACCAGGCGTGGTTGAAGAACCGCGTCCTTTCCTGTCGCTGGCGGCGGTTCAGGGGATGCCAAGGCTTGGCAGGGCCTGCTTCATGTCCGCTGAGGGGCCGGGCTGCCCGGAGCAACCACGCCAGCCAGCACAGGAAACGGCCGGGTGAGAGAGGGGCCATGGCGTCGTAAAACTTCTGAGGTTTATGTTTGTACCCTAAAAGGAACCCCGACCAGTCACTGCGGACGATCCGGGCGAGATGCACGCAAGGATCTCTACAACGGACTATCGGTAAAACAAATTCCTAATTAAGACGCTGCGCGCGCTTGGAGCGCATGTAAGCATTCCAAACAAGAGTCGGATGTACAAGAGGCACATGACACGTTACCGCGGGACTAGATGGGCCAAAAGGACACCGCATGGCTCGTGCATAGGTGTGGCCATCTAGCATTCTACACAGCTGAGGTCTCACCAGACGAATTTCCTTCGGAACAACTCGTACTGATGGGACTGGTTTTAGGGCTTACGGCTTAGGAGTTTGTGTGGGGTTCAGGGTTTAGGATCTCCACCTCTTCAGAAATGAGGCAAAGCCCCGCACCCTGAACTCGACGCCCTAAACTCAAAAGCTCTGGCCAAACCTTGCCTTGCAGTTTATTGAAGCGGTTTCGCGGCGGGTGTTGGGTGAACTATGCAAAATCTTGGCAAGCGAGGCTTACGGCCTGAAACTCACAAAGCTCTACACACCAAACAATCTCGGCTTCAAGTTGGCGAGGCTGTAGTCGTTGGTATCTTGGTTGTTGTTGGTGGTGGTGGTCGTGGTGGTGGTGGTGGTGGTGGTGGTGGTGGTGGTGGTGGTGGTGGTGGTGGTGGTGGTGGTGGTGGTGTGGTGGTGGTGGTGGTGGTGGTGGTGGTGGTGGTGGTGGTGGTGTTGTGGTGGTGGTGGTGGTGGTGGTGGTGGTGGTGGTGGTGGTGAGGTGGTGGTGGTGGTGATGGTGGTGGTGGTGGTGTGGTGGTGTGTGGTGGTGGTGGTGTGGTGGTGGTGGTGGTGGTGGTGGTGGTGGTGGTGGTGGTGGTGGTGGTGGTGGTGGTGGTGGTGGTGGTGGTGGTGGTGGTGGTGGTGGTGGTGGTGGTGGTGGTGGTGGTGGTGGTGGTGGTGGTGGTGGTGGTGGTGGTGGTGGTGGTGGTGGTGGTGGTGGTGGTGGTGGTGGTGGTGGTGGTGGTGGTGGTGGTGGTGGTGGTGGTGGTGGTGGTGGTGGTGGTGGTGGTGGTGGTGGTGGTGGTGGTGGTGGTGGCGGCGGCGGTCGTTGTTGCTTGTTGTTCTTGCTATCGTTACAGCTGGTGTTGCTCTCTCCAAAGGCAACATATATGGTTAAGAAAGACACTTGTACTCATAATAACAAACTCATTAAACAAGAGTTTGGGGTCGGCTTTTAAGCTCACTGCATGTCTCTCTGGCGCTTCAGAGTTTCGGGAAATAGGAATTAGGGCTCAGGGCTTCAGGTTGTCTAGTCTAAGTCTACGTTTAGTTGAAGGAGTTTAGATTGTTCTCAAGGCTTTGGGACTTTAGGCTTTGGGGTGTTTGGGGACAGGTTTGGCCAGAATCCGAAACACAAAACACCTAAACCCTAAGACTGTTCTGAAGCCCTGAACCCGGGCCTCAACGGCGGGCGCCGCCGCCGTCGCAGCTTGAGAACCAGACGCCTGGCTCCCCTGCAGCACTGACGAAGCCCAAGGAGGGCTTTAGGGTTTAGGGGTGGGGTTCAGCGTTCAGGGTGCAGGGTTCAGGTTCAGGTGGGGTTTGAATTGCAGATCAGGCGATACTAACCCCGTTGATGTACATTGTAGTTGGATATCCCGAGACTCACCAGCAACAAAATTGTTTCTGGAAGGGCTGACCTGCCGTGCAACCAGAACAACTCCAAGAGCCTCTGCTCAGGATTTATCTTGTATTCATTAAACCCGATTCACTAGCTGCAACCCACAGCGGATGCTAACAACAGCCTTTAAACCCGAGATCTATCCTGAAGCTGGTGCAAGGTGAACTGTACGTATGCCTGAATCAAGAGCCCTGATCTTTGAAAGATTTTCTTCCCGTGAGCTGAAGCCTCGTCCGCTGCCTCAAGGGTCCAGTCATCCTCCTGTTCACGGCTTGCGGCTTCGGGGATGGAGTTGATGTAGGAGTCGATGGCGTAGGAATGTCTAGGGTTCATGCGTGCGGCGTTTTTATCCTGCAGAGTAACGGGCAAGAGTTGCCAACCGATACCTTCCAGATGTCGCAGTAAATCCTTGTGGAAGCCGCGCATTCCTGATTTCGAAAGCCCCAAGGCTCAACTCAATGCCGGGACAACTACAAGGACCACCGCAACAAGGACAACGACAAGAGCAGAAAGCACGGCAACAGAAAACAGAGCAAGAACTCACATCATGCCAAACCTCACTGGACCTCACTTCTAGGAGCTCCAGACCCATAAATTCCGCTCTCGCAAGCATAGCAATCAACATGAATTCAAAGACTACTTGCCCCAAGTCCTGCAGCATCTCTAGCAGCTTTCCCAACCTCAGCCCTTAACCCAAGGAACTAAAGCTGAAACTAAACACCAAACCCTCAACCCAGAACCGCATGGATCCTGAAACCGTAAACCCCGAGCCCAACTAGAATTAACCCTCAACCCATGTAAACGCTGAACCCTCAACAAATTTCTGCCCCAAACCTCGAAAACCCTCAACCCATAAACCCCGAATCTTAAGCCCCTAGATCCTAAGCCCTTACTTGGAGGTTCATGCGTAGTTATAGCTGGGGTCATAAGCCCCCTAATGGGAGTTATAAAAATAGTTACCCTACTTATAACCCCACTTATAACTACCCATGAACCTCCCAGTAGCCGAGCCCACCATTCCCAGCTTCGCCTTGGGCCGACTGCGACGAGGTCGAGCTTTGGCACCGCCCCTTCTCTTCCGAAAGTGCTTCGGGCTTAGGCTTTTGGGTTTGGGGTCTAGGGCTTTGGGGTTTTGATGTTTAAGGCCTCGGGTTTTGGGTTTGGGGTTTAGGGCTTGGGGTTTAGAAGCTTCGGGCTTCGGGTTTTGGGATTTAGGGCTTTTGGGTTTAGAAGTTTAAGGCTTAGCTTTTGGGCTTTTGGGTCTTGGGCTTAGGGTGTTGGGCTCGGATCTCATGGCTCTCAGAAGGGCATACTACTTAAAGGATCATGGGACTTAGTAAGTAAGGTTATAAGTACCTTAATTGGGGTTCTAAGTACTTATAAGTATAGTTACCTTAATTATAACCTTTGTTACTAAGTCCCATGATCCTTTAAGTAGGCAACGCTGGGTCTCAAGAGAAACCTAACCCTGAACCGCGAGCCCTGCCCCACACGAAGGCCTTCACGTCAGTTTGAGACCGTCGTTCCTAGGGTTCGTGGACCCCAACTTGCATACAGTTATATACTTGGAGCTGCATGGGTAGTTGTAAATCCCCTAATACGGGTTACAATTGTAGTTACCCTACTTGTCACCCCACTTGTAACTAGCCATGAACCTCCAGTTAGAGAGCATACGAGCGCCAAACACTGACAAGCATGAAGCAGGACAGATCTCTCAGCCGTATAATCCCTGATCTTATGGACACCACGCTCTAAAACCCTGAGCTCTGAAAAATCCAGCGATTCTAAACCCGCTACCCCTCAAAACCTCAAATGCCCATCCAAGACCCAAAAGCCTAAACCCTCCCGAAGCCTCAACCCAAAAACCCTCCTCAACCCCAGAGCATAAACCATGAACCCTCAACCCACAACCCCAAACCCTTCAGACCCTGAACCCTCAAGCCTTAAGACGCTAAACCTGAATCCCGAACCCGTGAGGCTCTAAACCCTGAACTCTCAAGGCCCTAAACCCTGAAGCCTCAAGGCCCTAAACCCTAAACCCTTACGGCCATATGCTCTAAACCCCTCAAGGCCCCCCTAATCCCTAAACCCTTAGGGCCATGAGCTCTAAACCCTTCATCCCGGTTCGCGGCCTGGGGAAGAAGGCGCGCCCTCGCACGGCCCATGGAGGACGGCCGGTTGTGCGCCTGTTTTAAGGTTTAGGGTTGGGGTTTAAGTTTAGGGGTAGGGTTTTGGGTTTTGGATTTAGGGCTTCAAGGGTTTAGGGTTTAGGGTTAGGGTTTAGGGCTTAGGGTTTAGGGTTTAGGGTTAGGGTTTAATTTAGGGTTTAGGGTCCCGCGCTTTAGGGTTTAGGGTTTAGTGGCTTCAGATTGATGGGTTTCGGGTGAAGGGTTATGAGGCTTGTGGCTTTAAGGTCAACGGCTTAGGATTGTAGGTAAAGCTCAACTGGTTCCCTAATGGTATCCCTTGGAGTACCCCTAATGGTTGCCCTGAAAGTTCTGAATAAACCTTCGGGGCGGAGGGTTTGAGAGACACGCCTGACTAGTTGACGAGATACTGTCATGCTAGCCGCAGGACCCAAAGCCGTCAACCCTTGACTAGTTCATGGTTGGGATAGGATGAAAGGTTTACATGTTTATTCCTTATTGGGTTTAAGTGTCCCTAAAAATGTAAAATGTTACAAAACTATGACAAAGTTGAGAGGTTAGGGCCAGGGTTATTATGGCTACAGCTTCGAGGTTCGGATCAAGGTGCCCATGCCAAGATCAGAGCGCCAAAGACTAGACTCAAAGTCAGAATCCTCATCAAGCTCACATCTCCAATTATTAAGGCCCCTTCATTATAGTACCCTTTTAGATTCCTTATAGCAGCCCTTATCGACCCTTTAATAGATCCCTTATAATCTATACTGTAACCGTGAAGCTCTGAGCACTGTAGGATGTTTGGTTCATTTAGGGCTCGGGGTTGTCAGTCCCCTACGTTACGATTCCCGTATTCCTTGGTTGCCCAGACCCCCGGGAGGATCTAGAAAGTAGATCCCCTAATTTGGGGCCCTGTACTACTAAGGGTACGTTCCCATTAAGGGATCTACTTTTTGGATCCTCCCAGTGGTCTGGGTATTCAGTCCCCCTTACGCGTGTCTAACTTCTACCCGGCCTTCGGGCGCGAGGCAAATTGGACTCATCGTCGGAGGACTCCTTCGTTCGAAGCAGCAGCCGAATGTAAAAGCCTGAATAGATACTACAAGTAGTACTGTTCCATGGGGCTCCTTAATGTAACCACAATAAAAAATCCTATTATTCTA